TATATATATATGCAAATATGCAAATCACACACAAAAAAACATGCAATAATAACAATAAATTGGCACAAAAATAACATTAACAAATATTTACTTGCGGTATACAGATTAGAATAATGTAACAAATGTATATGCAAGATTACGTCTAATACGTTTTGTGCCCGGTTTATTATGTATGGATAGAAAGAATGTAATTATTTTCAAATCTAAATTTTTTTCTGTTCACGTTGTCTGTGTCACATGTAAGGCAAAAAACAAGATAGTGCTAGCATTTAATAATATTAATATGATCTACAGGGGCTGTATTTTATTTTATTTTATTTTGTTTATTTATTTATTATTTTTTGCATTTTCAAGTCCATTTATTTTAGTCAAAGTTTTTTTATACAGAAATCTTTATCCATCTATCGCAGGTCTTCTAAAGGAGGATCTTCAGGTCAGTGCTGAGGATGAGATGGACTATGATCCTCCAGCAGAGGGCAGTGTTCTGTACAAACTCTACAGCCTGCTGGATGTTCTGCTCATGGTGCGCAGCAGTGTGAACATCGCTCACCCCAGACATGACAAAGACACCTTCAGGGTGAGCTGGACACATGCTAATACACAAACACAATGCTCCTTTTGTGAAAATGTTGATTATTTTGGCCCTAGTTGAAGGATACGCCCCAAAAGTCAAGGTTGAGAGATTCCAAACAACATCAGACTCGTCAGTTCTTGTGTAAACAATCACAATGCATCTTATTATCATTATTAGTTATCATTGTCTGTGATTTTTAGCAGCCCTTTATTGAATTTGAGTCAATATGCCAAGCATTAATCTTTATATTTTAACCAGGGTTGAGTAATGTTCACCACTCCCTTTCTTTAAACAGTCTGCTTTCCTGTGCGGTACCGTAGAGTTGAGTTTTAAATGTCATCAATGTATTAACCGATTCTTTCCAGTCAATGGCTCTCAACTTTCTGCCCTGAAAAAAGCAGCACAGGATTTACTCTTCTGCATCTGTGTATAGAAAACAGTGACTCATAACTGCCGTTTGAGTGGGTAATCATTGAATCTGCTCTCATCCAGGCTGTTCCGGTGCATGTTTTACCCAAGCTGGAGTATCAGCTGTGCTACGGAGCCGAGAATCTGACCCACACAGAGGTTTGTCAGCTGTGGGCCGAGAAACTGCTGCACTCCAGCACCGTGTCCTTCATAAGTAAGAGACCTGATGAAAAATGTTTGCTTTCTCTTTAGCTATCATGAACGGTTATGCATTTTAAAGAAAATATGTAGTGTGAGAGTATTTAAAAAAGGTCATATTCACCTGTAGAAAAGAAAATATGTAGTATTACAGCGTTAAAAAAGCAATGGGCTTTTAATAACAATCAGTTCAGTTCATGAATTCATAAATAATTGAACTGATTTAATGATTTGTTTGCATTACCAAATCATATTAAACATTTTTGCATCAAGCTTTAAAATGTTGTAGTAAAAATATATGTAGATAAAAAATGTTGATGAATCAATTCATAACTAATTCAACTAATTTGATTTGATAATGCAAACAAATCATTGAATCAAAGTATTTTTCGTCCTTGAAAATGTAGTAAAAATATATGTAGATAAAAAATTTGATGAATCAATTCATAACTAATTCAGCGATTCATTTGCATTATCAAATTAAAGCATTTTTCATGCTTAGTTATATTGGTATAATTTGTATAAATAATTTTATCTTAATTAAATACTACAATTTTACAGTATTTTACTTCTTGTTTGAATCTAGTTTTTGCTAAGAATGCGTAGTTTTCACGTGACGTCACACCCTTACAGGAAATGTTGCGGCGGGTGCTGTATATGGATTGCTAATGGCCAAAACATGCATTTTGTTCACATATCTTTGTTTTATTCTTTTGAGAGGTGATCTAAATATTTTATCGGATTGGAACAGATAGAAAATTGACGGACTTGTGCTCCAGTCGAGCTAGTCACATGACCTGATCAAAAGAAACACAAAAAAAATACATATTTTTTTCCTCATTTAAATGAAAATAACAAATTTCTATCAAGTATAAAATAAAGTTGTTGTTTTTTTTTTTTTAATTAATGAATGAAGCAAATTCAAACAGAGGTATCCATATTGTATCTGGAGTGGTAGTTTTAGTAACAAGGGGAGTCAGCACAAAAGTGAACTTCCCGCAAACTCCTAGCATGCCTCTCTCATGATGCATGACTCACTGTTTTGAGTCAGGGTTGCCATAGCTACTAACATTTCAACTTTGAAAGGGCTGCAGAAGAATGCAACCGCGTGTGACACATCGGTATGGGTGGAGGGCTACTTAGGTTTCACCATTATGAGAGAAAGAGGGAAGGAGACTGCTGAAGTTCGAAGAATTTGGTCAAAATAAAAGTGTTTTTATCCATTTTTTGGAAGCCTATATAACACTGACGGTGATTTTAAGAATGCCCACAATGTGCCTGACAGCAGTCTGTGCCTTCAGGTGAAAAGAATCACAGCAGAATGCAGAATAGCCTCGCTTTCGGCGTATCGTTTGCTTTAGAGATTCTTCTAGGCTTATTAAAGGAATCTAGTCTTTTCTTTGGGTCTAGTCCAGGATCCAGCCCTGCTGATAACAGAACGGGCTGGTATCTTCACAGCCATGAGTCTGGACATATTTTCGCAAGGTTTAAGAAGACTTGAGCTGAGCAGTTTACTGAGGCAGATTATTGCAATAAGTCATAAGACAATATAAGCACAAATTTATATTTCATTTCAAAATTACTTCTGTTGTCTTTGAAATCTGGTTAATGTGTTCTGCTGAATGTACCGACAAGCAGTTATGGTAAACTAAAATATACTTTAATGTAATTTTTATTTAAATATATTTGTAATTAACATTTATAATGATGAAGTTGCAAATTAGTACATTTAAAATATATTGACTTTAAATGTAATATCAATAAACACACTACAGTTAGATTTGAAGTACACTACAAGTGCACTTTCCATACAATTAAACAAACCTGTTCTTAATACAAGAAGCAGTGATTACGTTTTATCCTGTCATCCTAAAGTCTCTAATGCTCAACTATGCTGCATTTAAATCTTTAAAGGGGTCATATGATGCGATTTCAATTTTTCCTTTCTCTTTGGAGTGTTACAAGCTCTTGGTGCTTAAAGAAGATCTGTAAAGTTGCAAAGACTAAAGTCTCAAATCCAAAGAAATATTCTTTATAAAATCGCCGGATCGGCTTTCACCGTGGACGAAGCGGAGTCCAGCCTAGGGTCGTCACATGTGGTTGCCGCAACCCCGCCGGCCGCCGCTCACTCAGCCCGCCAGCCGTTCCTCACTCTAGCCCGCCGTGTGTGACAATGTGCGTTTCGTTGTGAAAGCGAAACTACTTTGTTTGGCCTTCCAAAAGAGGACACAACTAGAAATCAGCTGGTTAAGTTGTATTTACGACACTGTTCCGGAACAGTTCAACCCAAATATTCAGATGTGTGCTGAGATTGTAGCTGTCCCCACTGGATGCAACAAATGCCTCGTTTATAATGGGTTTTAATGTTTGTCTCGTCGCGCCGGAACACGCCATCACAGTATGGTAGGGGCGTAACATTTCTGTCACGCTTGAGGTATTCGGCCAATCACAACGCACTGGATAGCTGGCCAATCGGGGCACACCTCGCGTTTCAGAAAGGCGGGGCATAGAGGAGAAACAATAATGTACATTATGTGGAAAATAATGTGTTTTTTGAACCTTAAACCGCATAAACACATTGCATTACACCAAATACACACAATAATGTTCTTTTTAGCAGCATCATATGACCCCTTTAAAATTACAGTAAAACCAGTATAGCTCTTAAAAATAGCTCTTTTATATTTGAATATATAAAATAAAAATATAAAAATAGCTCTTTTAAATATTCCTGTGATGCAAAGCTGCATCATTACGCCAGTCTTCTATGTCACATGGTCCTTCAGAAATCATTCTAATAACGTTGATTTGCTGATTTTGTGGAAACCAAAATACATTTTTTTTCATGATTTTTTTGTGTGAAAGTTTGAAATCTTTTGTAACATTAAAAATGTATTTGCTGTCACTTTTTGATTTAGCGCATCCATACTGAATAAAAGTATTAATTTATTTTATAAAACAAAATATTGATTATTGATATTCAAACGAAGCCAAAGCAGGACCAATGGTATGAACACCGACAGAGTGACACAATATATCAATAGTCAGGCTTTTTTTTTCATTTATTAATTTATAGTTATAACCTGTTCCAATTGTTGCTCATCCTCTCTGGATTTTGAAGAATAATTGGTGAAATGTCATCATGTCCTCTGTTTCATTATAGTTTTGTGTTCTTTGGCCTAAAGCAGTGTTTCCCATACACAGATGAACAAGTATGGGTGTGGAGATAATTTTCTTCTGGCATGAACTCAGAATGACACTCTCAGTGTGAAAAGGGCAGAGATACAACAGACAGACACAACGTGTGAACAATTATTGCAACATTCACAACTTTTCTCACAGCCTGAGTTTGTATTGCAGGTCAATGCGTGTCCTTATGCACCACATGTTGACACGGATTTAGATGTTCTTCAGATTGTGAGCTGGTTTATGGCTCTGCAGACTTTAACTTCTTTAGGTATTGACTGTTAAATAGAAATGTAGCCTAACCAACGCTACGGAAAATGAATGGAAGTATTATCAGATGAGATTAAAGACTTACAAAAAAATAAAATGAGCAGTCTACCTGTGGTAGTATGTCCATTTAAAGGCTAGTTGTTCAGAAACTGTTTGACATTTGTGTGTGTAGGTCGCATCAATGCACACACATCAGAAGTGGCGCAGATGCAGAATTTGCCCGACGACTGGATTCAGAACGTTACCTGCGACTTCAAGTGAGTGAAGCTCTATATAAATCTCTTTTAAAAAATCCTAACCCTGATTTGAGCGTTTTACCCTGTTGTTGTTGTTTTATATAATGTCTACATGTTTGACCAATTTTCACAGATCTCATCTGAAATATTGTCATATATTAATTTATAATTATATATTTTATTATAATTTATATTATAATTTATTTATTTTTTTAAATGTATTTATATTTTAAATATTAATTTATATTAATTAATTATATTAGTATTATATCAAGTTTTAATGTGATTCAATATTTATTTTCAGGCCAAATAGATGTTTAAACACCCTCTACCACTTACTGAAAAAAGTCTCATCGTGAGTTCCTTTCACTTTTTAGATCTATTTAAAGTTGTTACTTTACCCTTAGCAAGATTTCCATTTCCTAATGTGAAATCAGTCTTTCAATCAGTCTTTAAAAGTTTGTAATTCTGCATATTAAGCTAGGATATGTGAATGCATTTTAACATTAAAAATGACATGCATCAGCTTCAGGTATTGAGCCTGTATTTCAATATTTGCAAGGATGTGACCGTCATTTTGTTTGCGTTAGAAAGCTTGTGTCATCAACTACAAATTTCCTTTCAGCTGTCACTGTGCTGTTTTTTTAATAAAAATTTATTTTAACACCTGCCCCAGATTGCAGGAAGGACGATACCTCTTAGTCCACAAACCTCGTGAGGGTTTCGTGACCATCTTTAAAGCTAGTAATGAGACCAAGGCTGCTCGCAGTGTGTACCACTTGCAGAACGCGCACTGCGGACCCCCAGCTGTGACTCCAGGGATTCCCTGGGTTCCCCTGGACCCCTCACATGTCCTGCCATTTCACCAGAAACACGTCAGACCACCCTGCACCTTCCCCCCACGTCCACCCCCTCAGGTATGACCATATTTTCACTTTGAAATGTAGCCCCAAGTGTGGAGCATGTGTGCTGCAGACATGTTGAATCATGGTGCTTATTTGGGAAATTTGGGTTTGAATTTAGCAAAACTAAACTTTCCTTTATGCAGTATTTCCAGAGTTAGTGTGGTGTATTGGGTTATAAGATTTGGTGATTTGAGTCTTGTTTCAAAGTTATTTTCAGAGAGATGCACCATATATTTGCATACACACACTCACAGCCAACATAAACAGTCAGAGTGGACACTTTTTCATGATGTCTCAATAACATTCCTGCACAGTTACCACACCCATTCTGTCTAACAGGACTATCTGTCATGCTATGAATCTGTTTGAGTAACAGTTGATGGTGAAAGGTACTTATCTTTAATAGTATCTATCTTTTATTTCTTTTAATTTCGAAGTTGTTTCTGAGTTATCAGTGATTACCATAGCAAACACTGCTTATTCACTGGTCTGAGGCTGTTGCGATTGGGATATGTGTCAGGACAGGTCGTAAAGAGATCAAACCCATCCTACTAAACGCTTTGTAATACTCTTACATCATCGCGTTGGTCCCGAATGAAGCACTGCCTGAGGAAACATGACACTTATAATTTCATTGATGCAAAACGTACGCCAGAACCTGGGATGTGTGTCGTTTGTAAACCATTGAGCTCTGTGCTCACAGTGTCCTGTGGTGACATGCCTACTGTATGCATGTCCTAAGGCATGCTGGGACATTGGAAGTGGATTTACAACTCAAGAGATCTCTGTAATTCTCCAGTTCATGGCCATCTACTATTGGGATTTAAAACAACAACCTTAAGCAGGGTGTCCGCGGGTCCTTAAAAAGTCTTAAAATGTCTTA